TGTGTGTGTGTGTGTGTGTGTGTGTGTGTGTGTGTGTGTGTGTGTGTGTGTGTGTCTTTATGCCCACAGGCATGTGTGTGTTTGTGTGCACGCACTGTTTCGTATTGTCCGCGTGCAGACTAGCAGCTACACAATGTGTGCAGGGGAAGTCGAGACAGAGCACATCATCAGTCAGGCTTTATGGCTCAAGACCTCCTAAGATAAGCCCCCCAGGCTGTGAAATTGCTCCTTCAAGGGAAAATGACATTAATATGCACTCGTCCCTCCCCCCACTGATCCTTGAGCCTCACTGCTCTTTTTAGAAAGACAAGCCAAGCCATCATGAAAGGTTCCACCGCAGATGAAATGTTAGAGCCATTGACTGGGGCATAGCCTGCAGAGCAAAGCTTTTAGCCTGTCTAGCCTGTGTATGAGGAAGTAGACTCCTCTACAGTGTTGGAGCAGCATGGCGTCATTCACCAGAATCATGGATAGCACGTTCTTTTGTATAATCCTAAATAGCTCGAACAGCTTGAAGGAACCGAAGGACTGACACTGGGAATGGCCGAGGTCTTTAATTGATCGCTCTGTGACTCAGCCCTGCAACACTTGCCTTCAAACTTCAAATATTTCTGTTACATCTAAGCCCCCCCCTCCCCCCGTTCAGCTCAGGAATGTGTTTGTGGTATTGTTCCTTCAATAGGATTTGCGACATGATGTATGTGCAGTTTGGAATTTAAAAGCTGGTTTCATCTACAGAAGGGGAAAGTTTCTCCRCGCTCACTAAAAATGTAAGATTTATAGGTTTGCTTATGTGGCATTAAAAATGCTTTGGAAGCCAGTTGCGGTTCAGGAAGCAGTTTGTGATGTGGAAGTTTTAAATCTTGAGTACAAAAAGAAAACCGGATGTTTTTTTTGTTTTTTTATTTTTTATCTGTGTCTTCCTCACATCTCTTCGTCATATCTCCTGATATTCTCACTGTTGGCCTTGTTTGAATTTTGGAAATATCTTCTGTGTTTGTTTTAATAGATTTAYCCCTCAAAGTCTCTGCTGATCTGCTTAAAGAGGATTGGGAACGTAGCACAATCAGAATTTATAGACAATGGCAGTAAATACATATTTTTTTCCACCCACTTTGAAGCAGCAATAACAGCTCAAACACAAGGACCAATGAAGGACCCCACCACACACAAATATGTTGTTTTTAATCCTTTAAAGCAATCATGAAACAAACGTTACAGTATCTTTCTTTATCTGTTAATTCTGAGTGGAGATGAAATGTGGGTCAGACTCAGAGATATTAAATTTTTATCACATGTAGAGTCAGGGCTGCAACAAAGATTAAGTGCCGCAGCTTTAAATGAAAAACATCCTAATACTGTCAAATAACAAGGTTAAATTCACGCTTTGGGTCAAAGCAGAACACTTCTGCTCACGCTTGGGTGGAGTTAGAGGGGCAGATCGGTTTAAGATCATTAAAACAAAGCTGCATTTCTCATGAAAAGTGATTCAGTTAAAAGCAACTGTCTAATATATAGCTGCATTATTTAGTATTAGAGGWGCAACGATACAGATAATCACAATTCGGATCAGTTTGATACTTTAATCTCACGGTTCAATACTTTTTCCTTAAAAAATAAAGATTTCTATGCCCCTCTTAACTTGTAGTTTATTGAAATTAATTATGAATACTTGTTTAACCTCAAAGATACAGTTTTTTAATAAAATTTTGCTAAAGCAGCAAGTTTCTCAGTGGATCTGTGCTCGACTATGCAGCCTAGGTGAAGTAGTCGAACACAGATCCACTGATCCTTCAACGCAGAGCATCTTCAGAAGAGGAGTCGATAAAATTAAACTTAAAAATCTGCATTGTTCCATACATATTGTGTATTGAACTATTTGATACAGATATATGTAAGCAAAAATATGTGAAAAGAAATAATTTGTTGTTTATTTTACAAAAAATATACTAAAATAGTATGAAGAGATTAGTTGGCACCCTAAAAGAAAATAAGCATTTTACCTAAAGTGTATGACAGAAGCCCTCAGGATTTTCCTCAGGTGGGTGGTTTGGTATGATTGTATGTACAAATCATCATCTTCAAGTAAAAAAAAATGAGTTTGTTTCATATCTGTATTTTAATATTTCATTAACATTTCTYAATGTTTCGTTTTATTTTGTTTCAGGTTGTAGATTTTGTGTCGAGCTGAAAATCCCTAAATTCTGTATAATTTATACTTATTATGTCACCTTTAAAGTCGGGTTGTAAAAGATGAACGCATTAGGCAGAACTGTCCTCCAAAAGGCATTACACCTATAATTTGTGCTGCAGAATCAATTTGCCTCTGCGAGAACAGACCTCACCAGATGTTCACAGTCAAAAGTAAATCATTTTCTTTCATTTTTAGGACCAACAACCAGCTGGTGGCCTTCCTGTCCAAATATAGAGACATGAATTTCATTAAGTCYCATGGCAGGGACAATGCAAGGTAAGATGCAAATAGTTTTAACGCCTCACTCAGCAGCTTTACGCTCAGCTCGAGCTGTGTTTGTCGCGCACACGCCGGCTGCACCTCCGGCGCCCTCCCGCCAGCACGGTGTGGACACTGAATCATAATACAATTAGCTCCCATCTGTGGGCTTCATTGCTTTAACCTTCTTGGCTGGGGGGGGGGGGGGGGGGGGACCACCCCGTTTTCTGCAGCGTCAAACCCTGGTAGCAAACCGGTCCGAAACCCCCCAAAGTGCAGGGCAAATCAAAGACCTGCAAGGGCGTATGACTCAGCGTGACTCAGCCATCCTTTTTGTTCGCAGTCGCTTTCTTTTATTCAGTGCTTGAGTCTGATGAGAGGGTTGAAGCCATGTTCTCTTTCTAAATGCGCTGATATAAACACACGTCTGATATCTGATGACTTTTACTCAGCGTGTTTGTGGGTTTCTGTGAGCTAAAGGTTTTGTACGTCAACAGTCTTTGTCACCATTCACAGTGCAGAGAGAGACTGTCTGAACTAGCTGACCTGAATTTGACTCCTTCCATCCAACACTCGATCTGTTAGCAGCAGCACTCATTGTGTATGCAGAGCCTTACTGCAAACTGTGCAGTGTAGTATTTAGTGAGCAACTGCCGTCATCCTTAGGGAACTCTTTTTAAAGGTGTTCAGACTTTTAGACTGAGGAGAAAAGTTCAGTTTCAGTCTACAGACAGCTGGAACTTGATCTGTTTATGAACGCTGAACTCACATGATGCCAATGATAAAAACTTCCTATCACCATTTATAAAATAAATTYCAGCAGATTAAGTAAAAAATGTGAGGGCAGAGTGCAGCAACAAAATAACGTGCATGACCTGGGATACAGTTCCGCAAGCTGTTCGCACAAAAATACTTTTATTTTTCAAAAACTGGTCACTGCAAACACAACCACATGACGAGCTGGTTTCTTAGACTGGGATACTCAGGATTCTGTGGATCAAAATGGAAAAAAAATAATCTCTTTTTTTGCAATGTTGAGTCCTCGATTCATCTCAAACTCTTCCTCTGTTTAGTGTTGGTTCTTCATGGGGGTGGGGGTAAAGAGAGCATGACGGGGGCCCATAACCATATAAATTTATTGTTATATAAAAAATCACCAAAATAAGTTCATTATAATAATTAAAACTCTGTATATTTCAGTTCTTTTTTCATTCACTTTATTCTTTTATAATAATTAAAATTCTATAATTATAATTATTAGGAATTGGCGGGGTGGGGGGTCTCAGCTTGGCTTGGAATTAAGAAAGCAGGGTTTTGAGGATAATGTGTTGGGAACCACAAGTCTAAAATATGAACATTACTGTCAAACCCAAGATAATATAGACCCTAACCACCCTCGRCAGGGAAAGTAGGGAAGGAGATTTGCACGTGAGTTCAGATCCCACAAACAGAGCAACTCACTACTTGTAACACGTGACTATCTTCATGTTTAATTTCTGTTAAATGTCATTAAAAATAGTTTTTCTTCAATAGACATCACATGTGAAATTGAGTTGTTTCAGGTTTTATTGCTGGTAAATCTGTAAAAAATTTGTTGAGCTCAGTTAAAGGTACATTTATGACAACAGCTTGGTGTTTTTGTTTGTCAGGTTCATCCGTAAGCAGGGTCTCGATCGTCTGTTTTACGAGTGCGACACTCACATGTGGAGGCTGGGCGACCGCAGAATCCCCGAGGGCATCTCTGTGGACGGTGGGTCCGACTGGTTCCTCCTCAACCGTGTGTTCGTCGAGTACGTGATCAACTCCAAGGACGACCTGGTCACCAACATGAAGCAGTTCTACGCTTACACTCTGCTTCCCGCCGAGGTAACACGCAGAGACGCACGCACGCCGACGGGGCTCTTCACGAGTTCACGTCTTTGTTTCGGCTCCAGTGGACGACACTGCTTCGTACTTCTGCTGCATCGTTTATTAAATACAACTTTCTCATTTCATAACTGAGAGGTGACACAAAGGCAAGGAGAATAAATCTTACAGTGATAGGAAGATGCAGACTTCCCAATCAATTAGATGTTTTATTGAAAAACACATTTTTGTAGGGGAATGGAATGTTTATCATGAGGCCTTGTGAATCCTCTTTTTGTAGCTCTTGCATTATTTCCTCCTGTGAACTGGATTGTAAAAAAAAGAAAAAAAAGGACACATAATTTTCCAATTTGGTGTCTTTCTCTTTATTTTTCCCTCCCTATCTCCCTACCCAATCTCTGTTTCTCATTTTCCAGTCCTTCTTCCACACTGTGCTGGAGAACAGTGCCCACTGTGAGCGGATGGTGGATAACAACCTGCGCATCACAAACTGGAACCGTAAACTGGGCTGCAAGTGTCAATACAAGCACATCGTGGACTGGTGTGGTTGTTCTCCCAATGACTTCAAGCCTGCTGACTTCCACCGCTTCCAGGTAAAAACAGCTTTTAATCAACAGACTCATCGACTAAAACCAGAGCTTTAGCAAAACATTATTTAATATATCTAATTATTGTRATGTAATAAATGCCCGTAACTGCTCAAATAATGTATATATTATGGTGTACACACATCATTATGTTTAAATATGAAGTTTTATAAGAATAGAAGTAATTATTTGGTTTTATCAAAAATTTTCTTCACTTCTTGTTGTGAGTTGCTTTACAAAAAGGTTGTGGGAAGCAGGGGTGCATGTGGTTCCGCAGCACCTCCTTGTCTGATGCATGCATTCCCAAATACATATATAAAAACTTTAAATATTCTTTAAAAGTACAAATATGTTAGTGCTCTCTTATGTTTAAATATAAATCAAATTGATTTTAATATATAAAGCAGCACTGTTATTGATTTTTTTTATTTTTTAATGTTTATTCGTTTTCATTAAAAAAACAAATACTATACAAAAATAATATAAATCAAATAAAAGGAAAAGCAGCAGAAAGGAGGTTTTTTTGTTAATATCTGCCCCTTCCCCCCAAAAAAAATTACATATAAAAGAAATAAATTCAAACAATAATAAACTTCAAATAACAAAGCATGACAAAAAACCTTCAACTCCTTCCCAAACAACAGCTCTTATGAACACACATTATAAAATTMTTTTTTCTTTAGCAAACTAACATTTATTGTTCTCTTAAACAAATTTATTGAGCCAGCATATTTATAATCAAATAGAAACTCAACACATAGATTTAAGTACTTGGGTGTGTAAATATGCTTGTTTTCTATGCAAAGACACTTACTTGTTAATTTTACTGCAGTTTTCTCACTACAAACATTTTGAAAAATGTATTATAGTTAAAATAAGTCAATGTAACATTTATATCAGAGGTTTTTGTTAGATGCATCAGAAAATTCATAAAAACAAAAACTAACCTTAAAGAATATTATCTCTTTTTTGAAGCACCACAACACTGAAGAAAATCAGTAGTTTTTTTTATTTCCTGCCCTCGAGTCGTCCTCACAGTCAATATGTGCAAAATTATGTCTTGATTGGTGCRACTGAGAGAAAAAAGCTGCAGCAGTAATTAGGTCCTATTTAATCTGAAATGTGAGAAACAGGAGGTTTAGCCGACTTATCTGAAGAAATGACGGAGAGGCGTCGGCTCTGAAACGCCAGATTAGCTTTTCTTTCACCGTTTGACTTTAAATGAACTCTTAAAAAGTTAAATAAAACGAGTCCAAATGCTCCACCTCAGTCTGCTATCACTTTAACTCATTTCCTCGTCCGTCCTGTTTCCCACAAACCAGCCCCCGTCGTGATGAGCTGGGTTCTCCCTGTGCCAAACCCCGGCTGTCTAGCCTCAGTTTCTGGCAGCCCAGTGCCAACATATTACCCAGAGATCCCTGGCACCGCTGCTGCTGGGTCTGAATGGCACCCAGCTTGGTGTCAGTGGAGTCTGACCCTGGGAACAAAGCAGCATTTCCAGAAGTTAATAGGAATAAATATCCACTCAAAAGATCTCCGACAAGCGAGTTGTCTTAAAACGGGTTGCAGCTGTAAAAGTTGGGGATTTCGCTGCGCACTTGTGGAGGGATGGAACAGGATGATGGTGCGTTTGTCCTTGTAAACCACGGCTTAGACCTGTTTCAGAAAAAGAAGTCAGTTCTTTCCAATAACTGCACATAACCCTTCTCACAACTGAGAGTGTTTTTTTWTTTWATTTAATCTTCTGTCTGTAGCCAACGACGCATCATCCCACGGTTGCTGCTGCATGAGAAAAAGCCGAGTTCCTAGAAATGTGCTGCTTTTTGATTGAGTCCTCTTTTCTTTTCTTTTTTTTCCCCCCATAGCAGGTAACACCAAAGTGTTTTGTACAGCATGATTATTGATAAATAGTCTAGCGTCTGGGGCTGAAAAGAAGCRTTTGTGTGCAAGCCAAGCTTCAGAGGTGGTAGATTTTATGATGCATCATCAACCACACAAGAAACAGCACGACGAAAAAAGGATGAAAAAAGGTGTCTGAAAAGCAGACAAAGGGAAGAAAAGTACCGTCAGAAAAGATATGTTAAAAACTTGACTGAAATCACCCAAGTATACCTACAGACTGCCTATGAGGTGCCTGTTTTTGCTTCCTTCCTATGTTTTTAGTCAAATACCCTTGGCTGCTAATATTGACTGTAGTTATTGTAATGAATCTGTCTGACACTGATGCCCTGAGTGATTTCCAGCTCCAGTGATGCATCCAAAATCCCTTCATTAATACCAAATGCAGCACAGTGTGATTAACCTTTTTAGGGCCTTTCTCATCAGTGTGTTGGGGATGGAACAATCTGATCCGTCGGGGCTCGACTTTGCGAGTTCTAGGACTTAAAAGATCTGCAGCTCAAAGCCCATCGTCTGATAACAGAGGACATCCTCAGAGTCTCTGAGTGTTTCCCTCAGCGAGAAGCTTTGTTCGGAAAGAAGAACCCATGTTACATTAAACAGAGATCCACATAAACTCTACTGTTTTATTCATTTGACGTTTGTCTGAACATTCTTTAGTGCATCTTGTTTAGAGAAAAAGAAAAATATAAATTCAGAAGAAAGTTTTCTTCTACTTTTGAAGAGGAAATGTGCTGCCACAGGGGTACGTAGTTTCTTCCAAAACACAATTTGGCATAAAGGAATTTAAGGGTTTATTTAATAACAGGGTGGGGATCTGAAGGCACATCACGATTTATTTATGAGTCAGAGAGCTGTGGTGCAATTAGAAAATGACTACAGATGCATCTCAGGGATGCACGATATATTGGCATTAACAACGGGATCAGCTGACATTGGTCCTTTTTTAGAACATCATATTGGTCTGATAAGTAAAACTGGACYAATATTAATGTTTGATATTGATTTCYYACTTTTTAGCTTTGTGTTTCTGTTTTGGGAGGGGAAACGATTGGTCGTGTGGTACACGTTAGATAATGATATTGATGCTGCGCTGTCAGAAATAACTGAACTAGAGCCATGTCAGCAGTTTGGTCATTTATTTATGGAAAAAATACAAGTGTGTTTGTTTGTACGTATATGTTTATAAATAAGTTGTGTGTTTGGATAATATGGGTAAATATCAGTTATTGGCCATAACAGGAATAATTATATTGGATATTGAGATCAGCGGGAATTTTCATATTGGTGCATCCTTAATCTCAATGAAATAAAGTGTAGAGATGGATGGATGGATGGAAGGATTATTGGATGGATGGATGGATGGATGGATGGATGGATGGATGGATGGATGGATAGATGAATGGATGAAAAGATTAGTGGATGGAAGCATTATTGGATGGTTGGATGGATGGATGGATGGATGGATGGATGGATTAATGGATGGATGGAAGGATTATTGGCTGGCTGGCTGGCTGGATGGATGGATGGATGGATGGATGGATGGATGGATGGATGAACAGATGGATGGATGAACAGATTAGTGGATGGATGGATGGATGGATGGATGGATGGATGGATGGATGGATGGATGGATGGATGGATGGATGGATGGATAAACGGATCTTTGAACTTTTTCATTTTTTCTAAGGGCCACATTGTTTAGATCAAAGGGCCACTTCTGGCCCTCAAGCCTTATTTTGCTCACGAGTCTTTAGCATAAAAGGATGCAATTTGTGYATTTAAAATGAGAAAAGTCAGAAATAAGGGAGAGTTATTTTGAGGTAATACATATTCTAATTCATTCAGAAATCTCTAAGGAAAAATAGTCCCTTTTCCACCCTCTGCCTCGTATCTGAATATTTCTCTCTGCCCACCCATCACTTCCACACACATCTAACACGTCACATTCGTTCCTCTCACATCCTGGAACACCACCATTTAATAATCCCCCCCTGTTCTCTTTATCTCCTTCATCCCTGCTTCTCTCTTGGCTCTTTCTTCCTCCTGCTCTTTTCTTTTTATAGCAAACGGTTCGGCCCACCTTCTTCGCTCGGAAGTTTGAAGCCAGCGTGAACCAGGAGATAGTGAACCAGCTGGACGCCTACCTGTTTGGGCCGTTTCCTCAGGGAGCGCCGGGACTCAACTCGTACTGGGAGAATGTGTACGACGAGCCAGATGGCGTCGCCAGCCTGTCGGACACACAGCTCACATTCTACCACTCCTTCTCACGGATGGGCCTCGCTCGAGCTGCAGCTTCTCTGCAGGGGAACCCAAACGATCACAGCTGCAGGTTAGTGTGGCCCCAGCAGCACTCGCACTGTTGTTTCCCTGTATTTTCTCTTTCTATTTAGCTCGCTCTGAAGAAAGTTATGATTTTAATTTTTATAACTTTTATACTTTTCAAAATATAAATTTTTTTAGCTTTTAGTCGACCTTTTGATACCTTAAGCCTGTCTTACAATTAGTTAACTAGAGTTTTGCTACTTAGCCTTTTGCTGTCTTTAGCTTTTATCAAGCGTTTTAATTTTAACTTCTGCCATTTTAATATTTTTCTACTTTTTGTGCTTAATCTTTTGGTAATTTTAGCTCTTAGCTAGTCTAGATTTCTGTTTTTCTTTTAGCTTAACCCATCAGTTTCAGCTTTTTCAGCTAATTTCAGTTGTCATTTCAGAATTGACATCATCTTTGCAGAAAACACTTTTAGACCCTTTTGGTTTCTCTTTATTTTTTCTCATCATTGCTCCTTTTATTGCACACCTGCGCCTCCATTTTTTCCCCACAGGTRCCCTTCAGTGTGTTTTTCTTCTCAATAGGTAGCCACGCCTGTACTAGCATGAGAAACCACGACATACGGCACACAGAGAGATCTTTTGTTTTTGTCCTCATGCACTGTCTTATGAGATCACATGTCATGGAAACGAGATAACAATGGATTGCTTCAATAAGCAACTGGGAAGTCTGGGTGAAGCTTTTCATTTTGTAACACAATATGACACCGTCAATTTATCCCTGAGATAATGAGCCGATATGGGCCATAACAGTGAACGCTGGCCTGTGGGCTGTTATTAGTGGAAATGAACAAATTTCAGAAAGCTGTTAAGACTGTATGCAGTCGAATTGGAAAGTAAAAAAAAAAGCTTATTGCCGTCATTTTAAATGGTCAAACGGTCCATTTTCTCTTCATAAATATAGCTTTTGACTTTGCAAGGTTTTTCTTTCTCAGAAGCAYGTGGTGTTCAAGTATTTTAATTAATTTTTCCTTTTGTGCATTTAACAGGGTTAAACTGGGGTTCTGTGGAAAAGTCACAGACAATATCTTACCTGTTGTGGGTAGATTTTTGAACATCACTTTGAAGAAAAGCTCATGACTAGTTTGAGTAATGTGAACATTTGTAGAGGGGGTCACTATGAAAATTTGGAGATTGGAGTTGTTTTAAAACAGAAATCCACCTCAATCATGCTGTAGCTCAGATTAGCCATTAGCGCAGAGGTGCCCAAAGTGGGGCCCGTGGGCCAAATTTGGCCCGCCAAGCCATTTGATATGGCCCACCAGCAGTTATCCTGGTTACTAGGTTGTAATTGTCTGTCTTATGTAGAAATACTACATTTGCACTTAGTTTTTTCAAACATTTGTCCAACTATAGGTACAAGGAGCTGTAGTCAGATAGTCTTAACTTATGGTGCTCACTTTATCTTTGAATTTTGTTAAGATTAAACTTAAAATACAAGTAACGTCAAGAGATATTTGTGAGATTTAAGTCCATATCTTGATTTGCACCTTGAAAGACCACATTTACTCAAATTTTAAATTATGAAAAGTCCCATGAGCCTTTTCTGCCCRAGCATACGTTGAATTTTCTCCATGTCCRTGGGCTGAAAAAACAAAMAAGAAAATGTGGGCAACCACACTGGCTGCTAGCTTAATCATAAAAAATACAACTTTACTTGAAATATTTGCATTTCGTGTATTATATTATTGCATTTGGCCCACCACCCTCATTGATTTTAATTTTGGCCCTCTCAGGGAAAATGTTTGGGCACCCCTGTGTTAGCGCATCAATTTGATCAAAATAATTTGGAACTGAGGACATTTAAAAATTATCTACAAGTRAATGATTAATTCTGCATAATGGACTAAATCCAAACCATTATTTTTGATTTGATAAACAAAAAATGAGGACAGCCTTAACAGGAGTCGAGAGCAATGAACCTAACTGCAAAGCAGCATGAAGGATATTTGCTTTAACAGTATGTGGAAACAAACTGATTATATCTGGTGTAGTTTTAGTTGGTAGTCATCCAAACTGCCAATCTACGTTGTTCTTCTAGGGAAAGTTTCAGAAATCATTAGGCGAACTGACAGTCAGTGTCACTGACAGCGCGGCGCTCGCTCGTGTTGAATCCAGGCGGCACCACAGAAGCAATCACCACAGCTGGAGCGCGCTTTGTGGGAGCCAAAATGATTTCCTCCTCGTAAGCAGAACATGCAGCAACACCAGCCCCCTGCTCCCCGCACCTCCTGCTGCATTTAAGTGTTCTATAAAATCCTTCAGGTAAAGGCACGCGATATAAAAAAGAAGCTTGATTATAGTATGGTTTCCATGTGTCCAAACTTATAAATGGTCTGTTCGGCCCAGCTGTTTCTAGTCAAGTACTGCGTCAGTTATAACAGAGCAGGAACAATAAAAAACGTGTGCTTACGTGTGAAAGTGGGGCTCCACAGCAAACAACTAACACTTTTAAATTTCTAAAAGGCTGGCAGATATAAATTAAAGTGTTACACATGTAGTTGTAGCTGTTTAGGAGCTTTTGTTGCTTAAACAAACACAAATAATGTGTTTGTTTACATGTGCGTGTGTCACATTCTATTAACATACCATAGTCATAAATAACAGGTTTTTGTTTGTTTTATAGTTTATAGAAAAAATATATTTTATTAAGATAAGTCCTCATCTGGACTGACATCCAACATGTTGGATTAAAGAAATGAAAGCAGAGTTTGATGGTAGATCCATACATTTACTTCGTTACGGTACTTAATTGTTTTGAGGATTTGTAAGGTTACAAAGTGTTTTTTTTAATCGCAACTTTTACTTTTATTGTGTTAGATTCAAAACATAAAAAGATCATTGTACTTTACTTTAAAATTTAACACCTAGATTCATTTTAAATTTTAAATATGACCAAAACTTGTCATAAGAAGTTGTTTAGGCACTTTAAAAAAAGTTGTGTTGAATTTATTTGAGTAAAYATAAWGCAATTTACACAACTSGGTTTAGTGAAACCAGTTTGGTTAAATAAATCCAACACTTCATTTCTTGGTGTGTGTAAAAGTACTTTTACTTTCTGAATTATTGTGAGCATATTATGATTATACTCGAGTATTTTTCTTATTGGTGAAAGTCATTTTTACCAAAGTCATTTTTCTGTTAAGGTATTTTTACTTGTACTTTTATTTATTTCAAGTAGTTTATATGCAGTGCCTGTATCTGCTGTAATCCAACTCTAATCTGATACTGTGGTCCACAGTTCCCAGATTCTTTTTTTTTCAAAACATTTCACACAGAATTATTTTAATTCTGCCTTTTCTTCGATTTATTCAGCAGTAAACTGATCTCAGCAAGGCATTTTTTTTAAAAAAAAGTCTTTCTTTTTTGTGTGTGATTTTCTACATTAACAATAACCCTTGAGATGTTATTTTTACATTAATTCTGGATACTATTTTCTGAAGCACAAAATCSTGTGCTCTGATCAAGCTTAACCACAACAAATAACAACTGAATAAATAAAACTATTTGCCTTGTAATTCAGCCACATTTATTAGTGTAATGAGTGAAAACGTAGTTAGCGTGGTGGAATGATGCAAAGCCTGCCTGGAGCTGTCTTATTTATGTTTTATTGATTCAGAATTTCACCGATTGAGCCAAGTAATTAAATCGATCAGGTTTTCCCTCAAAGCGTGTCACAGCAAAGCGCTCACTGGGAAATTTATCTTATTTGAGTATTGGTTGTGTGCGTCCTGGTGTGTGTGTATGTTGGTGTATACGGCCACATATTTCACATGCGTGTAAAAAGCTCAGATGTGCTTCCAAACAGAAGGATGTGAGACTGTTGCAAGGGAGATGAAAAGAGCRCAGAGTGATTTGGTGCTTTTAGCAGCTTTCTGTGACTTCCTTGGAGAAWCTGCGGGTTAAAAGCTTGAATGGAGCCTCTGTGCAGGTTACGCCTCAGACCCACTCGYATACAGGCAGTCACGTCTCGTTTTTGGAAAGATGTGTCAAAGGGGATTGAAAGCTGAGGGAAGACAACATGAACAAAAGCAGAGGAGATGAACGGCAAGGAAGAGGCTAAAGGGAGAGTATAGGAGAAAGACAAAGACTCAGAAAAGGAAGCAGCAGAGGGGAGAAAGGAGAGCATTGCCATCCCTTTGGGTGTAAATATTTGCTGTTCTGCTTGTCAGGGTAGCGTTTGCCAGAACCGGTTGACTCCTGGTCCTTTAGCTGAATACTGATGAAACTTTAGGCACAGGGGAGCCATGGGGGGAGCACAGTGTGCTTTCTGTTAAGGTGTGTGTCTAAAAGTAGAAGGGGGGAGAACGAGGAGGAATCAGGGCGAGGAGGAGTCAGGACGTGTGCAGTCAGCAGCTGTTGAGCATTCCCCAGCAGCGCTCACCCTGGAAGTCCCTCTGGCTGCTCCCATGGGCCGACCCTCTGCCACGTCGAAAAYGCACAAAAAATAGAAAAATTGCATTTCCTGACAAAATGTTAGTGCGAATGCTTCTCGCTGAAAATTTAACCTGAAAGCTGCTGAAATTCAGCTGAAAATGTTTAATAAAAAGTGTTGATGCGAGTTCAAGTTGGAAAGCTGCAAGAAGAAAAAAGCTTAACTTTGCAGAAAAACGGTATAAAGGAGCAAAAATATAGTTGAATTGGCAGAAAACAGCTAAAAGCTAACAGCTAAAGTAGCTGAATATAGCAGAAAACATCTGTAAGAAGCGTAAATAATACAAATTAGCAGAAAAAAGGACAAAGTAGAAAAATCTGAAGAATTGCAGAAAGAAGCAGATCTAAAGCTGAAGTAGCATAATAAAACTAAAATTAGTGCAAAAATCAGCTAAAGGTAGCAGCCACAAGTTATAATTTACACCCAGATAGTGAAAGTTTTGTGAAAAAATGTAAAATTAGCAGAAAAAAATGCATAAAAGTACAAAAAAGTGATAATTTGTAGTTAAATAGTGAAACAGCTAAAATTTTACAGGAAAATTTAAGTCCTGGATTTTTTTTAATTAGCATAAACAAGCATAAGGAGCACGTTTGTTGAACTTAGCAAAAATAAGTTGTAAAAGTTTTTTTTAAAAATGTGTATTTAGCTTAAAATCTAACTTTAGCTAATGACAGCTGAACATTAGCTAAATTTGCAGCAAAAAGCTGAATATAGTAGATAAATAGCACAAATTATCAGAAAAAAAGCACAAAAGGAACATGGAAAGAATCAAAACTATAGCTATAATTGAAGAAAAAAGCTAAAATTATCAAAAAAGTAGCTATTTTTTTCTCAAGAAAGTGAAAAAGAGCATAACCAGAACAAAATGTGTAAGGTGCTGTGAAGATTTTGAAACATTTCCAAGGATTTTAAGGATGCTGAAAACAGTTCAGTGGCAAAAATGTGGCTAAAAATGTGAAACAGCTGAAAAAGTATAAATAGCTAACATACCAAAAGTCATAACACCCTTGGCATAACTGAGCTGAACGTTTTGATATATGAATTGCTAAAATAGCACAAATGATCTCAATAGTGTTACTGCTATGAAGTTCTCACACTATTAAAGGCATAGCATATCACCCGCCTACTTTCTTGCCAGAGTTTAAGTCTAATAACCTTTGTTGCATAGTTAAAAAAGCAGACATGGTTGCCTTTTGTCGTTTTGGGCTGGATGAAACAAACAGCTTAATCAAAGAGGCAACATTTAATTCAGCTTCAGATTAACTTTGTTCAACAAACCTATCCGAGCTTTATGAATTCAGGGGAGCGTACAACTAGCAGAGCTACATGAAGCAACTTTTTGCGTAGAGAAGATTTGATATTTACCTTGAGATTCTCAGCGGTCCTTAGACTTCAAGTGTTCCGCAGCCTCTTATCTTCGATCTGCTGCAGTGGTTTTGCAAGAGATATTAAAAGATAAAAAGTGCAGGAGCCCAAGGGTGGGCGTAACAACCCACAAGCACCACTTMCTGACAGTTATCTGTATTGTCGACGTGTCTTTGACCGATTGGATTTCTGTTAAAGGTCACTGAATTAATGTCTGTGTCACACAATTACAGAGCACATTGACTCACGCTAACCTTTACTGCGAGCGCACAWTAGCATCCGGCCACATTAGCATGACCAAAGCAGTGTCCCTGCAGACGTTATCTACATGAATCTTCTCTTCTTGCAGTCTGCGCCCCTCAGTGGGTAGGTCCGGTTTCTTATTTTCTCTCTGCTGTTTGCTCCCAGGTACTTCCCCATGGGCCACCCGGTGTCGGTGCACCTCTACTTCCACTTCGACCAGTTCCAAGGCTACCTGGTCCAGCATCACGCCACTAACCTGGCAACGAGCAAGCTGGAGATCATGGAGACGTGGGTGACGCCCAAGAAAAACTTCCGGCTCACCATGCCTCCCAGCAGCACGTTCAGCAGATTACAGTTCGCAGAGGTGAGTTTGRATTTTTAGTCATTTATTTCAACTTCGAATCCAGAGGGTATATTTGATATAAAACGCCAAACATCCATGCACGTTTCAGGACATTTGCTGTGAGTAATTAGAGATGCCATACACAGCTCATCGCTTTGGTGACCTTATATTCATTTCTACGATGTCCTTGCTGAGACTTACAGCAGCAGATTCTCAAACAATTAAACGGCTGCCTGTAATAGCCTTGTAAAGTGTAAATTGATTGAATTCGTCAAAGTTTATGGGGATGAGTGCTTCATGTGCTGCTTATTTGTTGTCTCCTAATATAATGTTTTCTCACCTTCACACTGGGATGTGTCCCTTGATTGTCTTGTTATGTTAATCTTTGTTTGTGTTTACCGCARAGCCTGTTTAGGATACAGCCAGTCAGCTATAATGTGACAGCCAGAGTGTCTTTTAAAAAGAAATTAACCGAGCGAATGTAAATTGACCTTTTTCTCTGMCTCATCCCGCGCGGCTTTGTGTGAAGCAGAAATGTCAACAAATTTGTCGGCGAGTCTGTTTGCTTTGTGCGAGCCTGCTGATGGCGCTCGTACACCTGGACTCACCTTGACCCTGTTTCACCTTTTCCCGAGCGATCTGAGCGAGAACAAAAAGGGATCCGGACACACAGCTGTCACTCAGCTGCCTCTCAAAAACAACCCTAGTTTGTGTGTTGAGTCTATGAAACCATGAGTGACAAAAAAAGCGATGTGAGCTGGTTCTTTTATCTGGATGCTAAGCCTGGGAAAGCATTCCCTGTCTGGCACAGCACAGCGGCTGTCAATCAGTCTGTCCATGTGTCAATCAAAACCAGCAAAAAAAGCTTAAATGAGAGCACAGCGTTGCTGCAGCGGGTCTGTGCTTTTTGTCAACATAGCAGATAGGAACCATATTACTGAAGCTATACAGTGGAGTTTGCGAGATAAACCATATGGTTGGTCTAACAATGGGTCTCCTGTCTTCTTCCTGGTTTTTCTTTAGATGTATAAACGGACGGAAATATCTTTGTTTTTGCTCCTTCATTAATGCTTCAGCTGCCTTTTTACATTATGACAGAAGGAAACTACAGTTATAATCTGTGTAATCTGTGGTAAAATGTACGATTGATTAATTTGTCCTTTTCAGGCTTCTGCAGATAGTCTGTGACATTCTGGTTATTTTTTTTTATTGTATTTGGAAGTGTTGCATCTTCCTTTATCAACTGGCAAAATGATTTGTATTATGTTCCATTATTATTTGCAACATTTATTGCTTCCGTCTGTTCATCCGTTCATCCATTTTCTTCWGCTTATCTGGGGTCGGGTCGTGGGGGCAGCAGCCTAAGCAGAGAGACCCAGACTTCCCTCTCTCCAGCCACTTGGACCAGCTCCTCTGGGGAGAATCTCAAGGTGTTCCCAGGCCAGCTGAGAAACATAGTCCCTCCAGCATGTTCTGGGTCTTCCTCTGGGTCTCCTTCCAGTGGGACCTGCCTGAAACACCTCACCAGGGAGGYGTCCAGGAGGCATCCTAACCAGATGAGCCACCTCAACTGGCTCCTCTCAAYGTGGAGGAGCACCGGCTCTACTCTGAGTCCCTCCTGGATGACTGAGCTTCTCACCCTATCTCTAAGGGAGAGCTCAGACACCCTGCAGAGGAAACTCATTTCGGYCGCTTGTATCCTCGATCTCATTCTTTCRGTCACTACCCAAAGCTTGTGACGATAGATGAGRGTAGGAACGTCGACCAACCGGTAAACTGAGAGCTTTGCCTTCTGGCTCAGCTCTCGCTTCACCACAACAGAKCAGTACAGCGCCCGCATCACAGCACCAATACACCTATCCATCTCCTGCTCCATTATTCCCTCATTCATGAACAAGACCCTAACAAGAGATACATTGCTTCCTTCAAATCCAAATGTTCTGTAAGGTCTGATTTCTCTGATGTCTCCCTTCTGGCAGCTGGTTTAGAATGCTGAAAAGTATCTGCACAATTACAGTCCAAACCAAACCCTACATGAGTTTGCTGTTAAAAAAGCAAGTACAAGCCAACCATTGGTTTGTTTAAGAGCCCAAGACTCGCTCACTGGAACTGAAAAGTACCAGTGTTGCAGTCTCTTGTCATCATCTGTCTTTCTGCATCCATCACTTCACTGTATATCTTTGTTAGTGTTCAGCCATTTTAGCCAGGAGGAAAATAGAGCCCCTGGAGAACTGTCTGTTGGTTGCTGTTATTATATCTCTMTTGCAACTCCAAGCGTATACACCTGCGTTTGATCTCCCCTTCCAAAACCGGCGCTACTAATGAGTCTCTTGAGGCCCTGGTGCCCTGAGGTTTTAAACAAGACCAGACGTAGAGTATGACTGTCCAYGTCCTTGCCAGATCAAACTGACCTGCCTTCTTTAATGCAAGTGTCAGACTGTTTGCACCGGAAAGCTGGTGACGTGGGGAAATGGTTGGCAGAGGGGCAGGTTAAAAAAAACTAATGGAATGAAGCTGGTTATGAGTTGGGAGTGTTTTATGTTTTCTATTAGGCAAGCCTGAGGCTTGAGGAGTAGATTAAACAATTCAATGATAGAGTGAAAAAAACATAAAGATGAAATAAATTATAAGTCATCAGGAGGTTAACTTCCCACTTAACGTCTGGTCTAATTGACAGCAAAGAACAAAGGTGGAAAAATATACAAATTAAATTCTGATTGCTGGTTAAAATTGAGATATTACTGATTTATTGGAAAGTATGACTAAACAGAGCGCCAGACCTGAAGAGGAATGGGGTAATTGGCMAAGTCAGAAAATCATGACAAAGTTGCCAGATCAGCATTAGCTTCTCCATAAAAGCATGTTCCTCAATATAGAGCTATAAGGTGGAAACTTAATTGATTACTGGACTTAAAATTAAAGCTTGGTGAGTGCATGAATCAGGTGAGGTCACTGGAAGCTATCGGCTGAGACTGAGAAGAAGCCTCGCCTTTATAACAACCATGRAACGGACTGTGCATTGGTTATCAGGCAGACAACTTGTCAAACAAGTTTYGTTCTGCATCTTATTAAAGTGTATTCACAATACAGTATTTGTTAGGAGGACATGCCGTGAAATTAAGAGGACGAGCTGCCCACTTGTCTGGTCTGAAATGGGTTGAGAAATGGAACTGTAGCAAAACCTTCTCTTCATRTTTAACTGTACATTGCATTTAATACATGTTTGTTGTAAATAAACTACAAGATCTAGAGGCAAGTTTCAAGGGTTTCCCATATAACCACGGAACAGGAAAGTCTTTTTCTTGCGAATCTAACTAGACATCTGCCTGCTGGTTCTCAGTGAAACACAGTGAGATTCCTCCATTAAACCTGCTTTCCTTATCTTTCAGGACTTGTATTTAATTGCATCATRTTAAGAGCTAGGAATTGTCAGACAAAACAGTTGATTAGTTGTTAAATTGCYGGGGTAAAAAAAGGAAGTTTCATGGGCCTGAAACTACAGAGGTCTGATTTTAGTTGAAAGCAAGGTGTCTTTGACAAGAAGCCAGGAATTTCACTGTTGGTCTCATTAATGCAGAGCAGAGTAATGTCTATTTTACTATGCATCGCAATCTCAGCTCTCAGAGGATGTAATACCGAGTCGGTTCCAGTCAGCCATTGATCCTCCATCAGGATGAGGCTGTGTTAATCAGCTACCATTGTCAGGACAAGCGCTTCCTAAAGCCGCCGTTCCTCTCACGTTTCTGCCAACAGCCCTGACATCTTTTACTGTCACTGTGTGTGTGTGTGTGTGTGTGGCCTTGTTTTTCCTACATTGTGGGGACAATTTTCCCGAAAAAGCAGCCTCGTGAGGACAGAATGCATGAGATAAATCTTGTGCCAGCAGGAATCAAATTTGAATTGCTCAGATTCAAATTCACATCACGGATCACATTGTGATCAGATGCTGCTGCTGACTGATCCATGATGTGATGTAAATGTAACATTTTCTATAGGTAAAATTAATTACTGCAATAAAATAACTTTGTTTTTGTCACTTTTACAGTGGATTGCATCAACTCTGTTACACACAGAAGGGAAACTTCACCAAAGTGAAACATAAATCTGTGTTTTATTACTCTGGCTGGCTTTCTTGAAGACCAGGATGTGTGACACAAAAATCTGAATTTAGGAACTGAAATTGAATTATAAAACTGAAAGTGAAAGTAGTCAAACTGAATTTTTAATAAACCAAAATACAGTTTCAAAGCCAATTAATTCAAATTCAAAACTTTAAATTCAGTTTCAAATCATTAAATTCAGTTTCAATTTAGTAAAATTCTTCTTCAAACCAATGCATTCAATTTCAAATTATGCACATTCAGATTCAATCTTAGCAATTAAAATTCAATTTCTGCTGGCACAAGATTTATCCCATACAAACGTGCATCTTGGGGACCGGGCATTGGTCCCCAAGATGCATCTTAATCTTAAAGGGGCGGGACTTAGGTTTAGGACTAAAGTGGGAAATGAGTTTAGGTTAGTTTTAGGGTCAGGTAGGTACCTGTGAGGTTAATTTTAGGTTAAATTGTCAGGGTTATGATAAAAAAAATTCCAAAAAATGTATGTTTAGGGTTAGGGGATGGGGTTAGGGTTAGGATGCACGGTCCCCCCACAAGGTTATACAAACCAGACCTGTGTGTGTGTGTGTGTGT